CACGGAGCTCCAAACTCCAGGGCAGTTCTCTATGGTGAGGGGTCAACAGCACAGTCTCTGGCATCAGACAGACAGGAGTCTAAATTCCATTCAACCCTGGTTAAGTTATTCCAAATGCTGGTAAGTTACCCAATGAATGTGAAGTACTTATTGCAGTGCTTAACATTAGCAAGCACACAATAATTGGTACAACAGAAAAATGGACTGAGGTAATGGTGGTCTGTAGAAACAATCATGAAAAAAGTTATCTGAGTGTGTGGTGGGGAGGGATAGATTCTAGGCTAATAATCCTATTGGCCTTCAATGTCCCCAATAGGACATGAGACTGTTCAAAGTTTTATGGTTCAGAACGGGAAAGACAATGCAATTAAAACATGCAATGGAGAGACTGGGATAAAAGAAGCAGAATAAAAGCAGTTAAGGTGAGCAGAGAAGACAGAGTCCAGCTAGGACCACTACAGAACCATGCAGTTGGCCTGTCGCCATATTGATCTGGCTCTCCTTGGGGAACAATCTGATTTTGCATTTAAAAAGTACTAGTCTGCTCTAAATATCAATATGATATCATTTATATGTGGAATCTAAAAAAATTATACAAATGAATTTATTTGCAAAACAGAAATAGATACACAGATATAGAAAACAAACATGTTTTACCACAGGGGATGGGATAAATTAGGAGTTTGGGATTAACAGATACACACCACTGTATAAACAGATAAACAACAAGGACCTACTGTATAGCACAGGGAACTATATTTAATATCTTGCAATAACTATAATGGAAAAGAATCTGAAAAAGAATATACATATATATATGTGTGTATATATATACACACATATATATATCTGAATCGCTTTGCTGTACACCTGAAACTAACACAACATTGTAAATTAACTATACTTCAATAAATAATGGTTAAAGAATAAAATCTATAAAAAAATTTTAAGATGTACTAGTTTGCTCTGAATGCCTTAGTCTAACTTTCCCTATATGAAGTGTATTCCAAATAAACACAGGTTCAAGTTAAATGAGTAAACTTAGCACAGAAATTCATAGAAATAAAAGTGCAATGAAATAGGTGAAAAAATCAAGTACTTTTATTATCTTCTGCAAAGTTAATATACATACCTCCACATATTTCTTCTGTTTCATCATCTATGCATTCTCTATCATCACACTCACAAAATTTACCATAAACGAGTCCATTTCCATCTGAATTATCACACTTACACCTGCCACAGTGACATGTACCTAAACCATTAAAACAGAGCAAAAATTATTTGTTAACTGCATATAAATTATAATTAATGAATTTTAACCTATCTCTTTCATAGATAAAGCCAATTCAAATCAATTTAATATTCCAATTAGGTTTTACTGTGGGTATGATGAGATAATGACATTCTTTCTTGAGATTATTGTAGCCCAGCAGTTATGTTTTATAGCACACAGCTATTATGATTGACCTCTAATAGTTTCATGAATCTGACCTCCCCAAGAGCAGAGCTACTTTATACATGTCCATCCAATCAATGCGTGAATGAATATCTTCTAATTACACCTGGGTCTTAGGTGAACTAAAGCAGAAAATTCTAAGCTTTGTGAGAGAAGTAACCTTGCTTATCTTCCTCACCAGTTATTTATTCAATGCTTTGCACAATATTTGAACATATTATTTATATAATGAATATTTGTAGAATTCATTATCAAATGCATAAATGAAAACCTTAGGTGTCCCTAATAATTTCATACCCACAGTGTTAAACTGATAGCCATGTCATTATGACTATGGGACCAGAGTGGGTTTTCTTATGCATAGAGTCCTGGGACCTCACCAAAACCTCAGGGCAGCTCAGGGTGATACAGAGGCACTGGAGTCATCTAGTCTACCGCACACAACATACCCAGCCAAGTTTGAGGATTTGACTACAACCCCAAGAGTGATTTCACTGACAATAAAACAGCATTCAAAGGATACTGAGAAGTAGAATGTCCATTTGAGGAGCTTCCTTTTTAATGCCTATTTTTAAATTTTTAATCGATCATCACAGCAGTCACCATACAGTAATTGAGACTTTGCCATTCACCAGTATCATCCTAGACTCTGGAAATGCAACAGGAGATTGATTCAGCCATAATCCTCCTCTTAAAGTTTTATATGAGTAAAAAACAATGTGATAAAATCAGAAGTGCAAACTGCTGCAGAAACACATAATAAGGGGATTTAACTGAGACCTGGTAGTCAAAGATAGAGTCCCTGGGGAATGGCTCTTAAACTGAGAACTGAAAGCCAAGTAAAAATAATAGCTAAGAGAATTGAGAAGGTGAAAAAGCCCACTTCCAGCAAGAAACAACAGCAAAGGCTCTGAGGTAAAAGAGGGAATAAGGGAAAAAAGAAAAAGACAGCTGGCGTATAGCAGAAAATAAAGTGGAAAATGTCATGAAAGGAAAAAGGCAACTAAAGATGCAGTTTACGGAAGTCTAAGAGGTCACATTAAAGATTTCCAACTTGAATCAAGCATGTACTAGCAGAAAAATGAGAAGCCATTGAAATATTTTCAACAAGGGAGTCATGTGATCAGGTATTCATTCCCACCCTGTTACTCTGGTTGTCATATGGAGAATGAACTGAAATGAGGCCAAGTAGATATGAGGGAATGTTAGTTCATTAGTCTGCAGGAAAGAAGATAGAGGCTGACCCAGGTCATGGCTGTGAGTTTATAAAAAAGCAAACACACGTGGTGATATTTTCAGGAGAAAGAAAAGATGACTCGGTGACTGGGTCTGAGAGGTAAAGGATGGGAAGGAACCGAAGATGATACTATGGATATTTGAAATGAGCTACTGGATACTGGCAATTCTGTATGTGGTGTACCAGAAAGAGCACAGATTTAGGACTGAGGTAGATTTGCAGGCATATCTAGATCTTAATCTCCACTAGCTATACATATCTGAGGTCATTACTTTTATCTCTAACTCTCAAATTCCTTATCTGCAAATAACGTCTTCTTCATAGAGCTGCTGTGTGGATCAAGTGATAAATATATCACCCAGTCATCTATCTAAAAATGCTACTGTGTCTAGCACACTGTAGACTTTCAGAAAATGTTGGGTTCTTTGTCGTCTCCCATTAAGACATCGAGTATATCAGCCATATTCCCAAATATTTTCTCCAGACACATTTTATATTTATGGATCCCACCACTTCCTGGTTCCATACTCTCTGCATGATTCTGTTACACAGGTCACTTGTGATTTGCTATTCTCTTTAAGTGTTCTTTCTCTCACAGTCACATATAAATGGTGATTCTGCAGAATTTGAGCTTGTTATTTTTCTTCCTTGAGAATACTTGTGTGAATTTTACTTCTATTAAACTTCTTTTTATAAACGAAGTTTATAAACTAGTTTATAAACTTCGTTTTATAAACTATTTTAATTTATAAAAGGTCATTTCCAATCTAACGCTACAATTCATGGTATTGCGTCATCTCATTTTGTTCTCTAATTATCACCCGTCTTCTTCATTTTCACATTTATTTATGCTGTCTTTCAACCATCCACGTATCCATTCATTAAATTTTCTCATTGCTTTATTATATTATTGGCGAAGTCATAAGTGCTATAGAAGATAATAAGATGGATAAAATTAAAACTAAGTAAATCATAGACCAAGAAGAAAGAGCAAGGTGATTGATAATTTTTACATATACATATATCTATATGAAACCAGATGACGCAAAGGCATTTGCAACAGATTTGTGACAAATGCTATAAAGATAGTATAAACCTCAGTCTGGCTCTGTGAAGGAGGAAAGGCACAGTAGGGGAGTAAGTTCTTGAGTTGGCACTTGATGTATAGATAGAATTTCAACAAGTGGAGATGGAGAAAAAACTTGTGATGTTGAAGAAAGAGCCTGGGCTAAGGAATAAGGATGGAGGATTTAACAGAGAAGAGTCTGGCTTTAGTTTGGAAAAAAGGGTAGTAAAGGCAGACAGTATAGGATCAAGAATATTGGTCAAGAATTTTAGAATTTATCTGTTGGAAGACCAGGAGCCCTTCATGGGTAGGGAGAGAGGTGTAACATAGTTAGGGCTACGTATGCAGTCATTGTTTTCAGGAAAGATGGGAAGGAACAGCCTCTGCCTCTGAATTCTACAACTTCTCACTGACGTCCCCCACAGGCTGGCTCACTCCAATCCACACATCTGAACTGTTCCTGGGTGATGCAGGAAGTTTACAACAGTTCAGAGACTTCCTGTCTTACTCATCAAGTAGAATTCACAACTGAGGCTCCAAGATACGGCATATGGAAGCCCAGGCAAAAGTGCCAGACTCGCGTGCTCATGCTGTGTCATCCTGCATCTCTTTCTTGGTTGCCAGTTAACTCAGTCTCTAGGATTGGTCTTCTGTTTTATGCTAGATTATTTTAGCTCTGACTTTTCATTCTGCCTAATATAGCTGCCTCTTTCTAGGATGACTCCCTGTCTTGAACACCAGCCGGAATAGAATTTTTGAAACCACTAATTGATATTCAATTGTAGGCTGCACTGCAGAACAATTTTAGTATATAAATCATACCAAAGAAGCAATGCATTAAACTACCCATGAGAACTATACTGTCCTAAGTCTTGTACTATATTGATATGGCTGCCATAATGGTACCTCTCCTGTTCACGGTCAGGTCTGCTAGCTTTGTATTCTCACGGTTGAGTATTCAATACTTGGAGGTAATAGTTCTTCTTGGTGAGGAATTAGGCTAATTTTCAGAGAGTGGGTGCATTTTCATCTCAAATCTTTGCCCAATGTGTGATTCCTCTAAGTTTTTCACATTGCTATTAGGAGTCCTATGGATACCGAATTCTTTAGAAGGCGCATTCCATTCTTTTATGGTTTCTGTGAGAAGCCATAAAAGAAGGTTTATTTCAAGAATAAATCTTGAAAATGGGGAAATGACTATTTTCTTATTTAAAAACAGGAGTTCGGCGAGCACTTACCAGAACAGAAGTCGTCAGAATATCTGTCATAGACAGCCTTGCAGTCCCTTTCATCACACTCACAGGTGTCCCCATGAATATCCCCCCAGTCTCCAGTCGGGTCAACATCATGGCAAGAACATTCACCACACACACAAATCCCTAGAGGGTAAAAATAATTTTAAATGGGTCTAGTGAAGAAAAATCATGAGAGAAAGCATCTTACACATTGCTCTTTTTTTTTCTGTTGTTGCTTTATATTTGGAAAATACACATATTCAGGAAAAATATTCTATAGAGGAAAACACCATCTAAAGTTAACAGTAGAGATTCTTTAATAAACAAAAGTTATTATCTATGTCTATACTTATGTGCGATCGCAGGATGTGAAATAAGCACCGTGCTGGTTTGACTCAAAGATAATACCAACACAATTAACGTAAGATGTAATCCTTGCTCTCAAGAAGCTTACAATTTATTTGACCAAAAAAACGCTAATGAAAAACAAACAAGCACCTAAAGTACTAATGTTTTGTAAACTAGGACATAAATACTGTAAGAGTTTGGGGAAGGGGAAATCAGTGTGGGCTGAAGTAATTAAGGTAGATGGCTTGGATAAGCATAGAGAACGGGAAATGTTCTAGGAGGACTGAAGGTAGAACAACTCAAGGAAAGTCAAGAAAGCAAGAATAAGCAAAGGAGGGTGGGAATGGACGTGGGGATCCTAAGTAGACCTGACTCATTGGAGCAGAAGGTGCATATTAGGTAGGCTAAGAAGTCAGGTTGGCTGGATCAGATGAGCTCAGGTTATAGAGGACATTGGTGTAGGTGGAGAGATATAACTTTGGTCGTTGGGAGATTTGTATAGGAGAAATGCTTAGTTGTAAATCATATTAACTTTGTGTGAATTTTAGTAATCATCTTTAGGGTAACCAGTTAATCACTGTGGAAAAAAAAAAAAGGTTAAATCCCTTTCTTACCTCTTAGATCAAAGTAAATTCTAGCTAGATTAAAGATTTAAGGATATAAAATAGAACCATAAAATATGAAATAAATTCATTTTTATTCAAAAGTCTCAAAGCAAATTATTTAAAGGAAAAAAGAAAAAGCTTTAACGACATAAAAATCTAAAATTTGGGTTGGGGGCAAGACACCAGAAACAAACTAAAAGATAAAAACAGCTAAAACAAGTGGTCATATGTATGTAAAAGACAAAGCTACTTTCACAAACATATAAACAATTCTTACGAGTTCATATCTAAAGACAAATATGCCTACAGCAAAACAGACAAAGGCAAAGAACACCAATCGGAAATTCTGTGGAGAGAAGTTATGATGATAGATAAACATAAAAATGTTTACCACTCAAGCTACCATGATGAAGGGATGAGGGACTTTTAAACAATAGTGAGTTAGAAATTATTTCAGACATACGATTGACAGAAATAAAAAAGATTGTTAGGATCAAGAGTTGGTGAAATGTCCAAAATGTCCAACTTTCTGGGTGGCAATTTCACAACATATACTTTTTAAATGTGTGTTACATATAACATAACAGCACACTTCAATTAACATATCTAAAGGAAAGGAAAAGTACACGTACAGGGATATTAAATATAGTGGTATTCATGTTATTGAAAAACCACTAGTGACCTAAATGTTCATCAATGGGGAATTCATGCAGTCATGGCCCATGCAGAGTTTATATATTAAAGGAAAATACAGGTGAATTAGCAGGATATATAATCAGATCTACTCTGTAAAAATTAAAGAGAGGACTTTTCTTTATAATTTTGGTCCCAAGGTCAGGCCTTTTGCTTTCCTTTCTCTCTATGTACAGAAACCTGGCGCATTTCACTCTTCTATGACAGCCTGTAAAAAAGATAAAGTTGGTTGTGTGCCCAGGATTTCATGTAAGCATTACCTATTAAAGTGTATCATTCATTTAGAGAAATGAAAAAAAAATAAGTTTCCAGCTTTCTAGATTTTTACTACTGTATAGAAGGAAATTGACCACTCACTGATATCTTCAAGTAGTCAGAAGAGTCCAACATGGCTCTTTATCTACCAGTACAGCTGACAAAGGGAAAAAGAACAAGTATTTGCAAGGATTTTCCTAAAAGTGTTTAAAACTATTTGATTTGATATCAAACGCTTAGTTAACTCGCGTTAAATTATGTTAGCAATACTAATATATTTTTTAAATTCCTGCTTAAAGTCACTCTCAATTCCACATGGCTATATTTTGTTCAATATCACATTTTTATTATTGCATATAAAAGTTAAATGACTCCATATCAATTCTGTATCGCAACACAAGCCTTCAATTTACTCATAATTAAGATGAGAGTTTTTTTTGGAATGCTCTCCGGATAATTAGATGCTCATGCTGTAGATGGTTCTGTTAGTCAAGAGACATTCAACAGAAATATCTACAAGAATTGCCTTTTCCCTGTACTATGCCATTTCTGGAAGGCTGCCAAAGAAATTACAGTCCCTGTGTTAACTATCTGTTCAGTGAAGCTGAAAGTATGACAGCAACTTTCTTATCTTTCTGCTTTCTGCCCAATAAAAAATAAGAAAGAGAAGCTTGTTGGTAGAGGAAATGTTGATTTACATCAAACACTATAAAAGATGACTTCCACATGGAAGGAAATATAGAGAAACGCTGGGTTAATAATTAAAGAGGTTTGTTTTTTTCCCAATTACATAGTAACGAGTATGAAAGACACACCTCTGTTACTGCAGACTCTGCCATCTGGAGATGTGCATCTTCGCTTGCTCTCCCAGGGGGTGATGTCACACTGGAATTCACATTTATCTCCATGCCAACCAGCCTGGCAGTAACAGTTTCCACAGTAACACTTTCCGTGGCCTTTACCCAAAATGAATTTTATACGGTGAGGAAAAAAGCAACTTTTAAAAGCAGAATTAACTTTCTACCTCTTGGTGATCATTTTTGCCTTTGGAAATAATCCACCTGCTCCATAGCCCTTGCTTAAAATAATCATATTATATAGTTTGCCCCCAAAACATCACAGGTGTGCCTATACCTACATAATTACACACATAAAGCAAGTCAAGGCGTCCTCTAACTTGTCCTAGCCAAGTGGCTGATTAAAATGACAGAATTTTAAAGAAATGGCATGAAAGACTGTGCAAGTCTATTACGTTCCAATCTCAGATGTGTACATCAAACTCAAACGTATATAAGCATTCACTCTAAGAGCATTTCTTGATATTTGAAATCAACCATTGAGAAAGCAATGGTGCATACTTCCTTGGATGCACATTATTAATGGCTATTTCTTAAACCAGAGAAAATATTTCATCTTTTCATTCAACTGTGTCCTGCAAGCTGTTGTGTCTTACCACATGGAAAAGAGGTTTTCAGCTAAATCAGTGTTTAGTAGTCATTTAAACTACTAATTACAAAGAAAATACCACGGACCCTTGGCCTTACAATCAAATTCCCCTCCTATCTGTCAAGAGGGTACAAATGCTAGGTAAGGACAGCCCATCATTTTGTGTCCAGATGCCTCCACACAATTTCAGCTCCCTCCATGCTGTAAACTGTTACTCTGCTTGTTTGTACTTATGTCCAAACAATCTGTAATGAACGGTCACCTCATTGCTTCCTGCACCCATGTCCAGCAATCCTACAAATTCCCAAAAGATGACAATACCTTTTATCCCAAATCACTTTTTATATCCTCCATTTTTGTAGTTATGCCACCCAACCATGAATGTATGTCCTTGTTCTAGCAAATCTGATGAAAACCAGGGCCATTTTGGTTTTTAGTCTATTCTTTCTGGTTTATAGGAATTTATGTTTTATCAGAGTCTATGGCTAAAGTCTTTGTTCTTGCCTCTCTCTTCTCCAACAGTCATCATCCCAGAGGGCCATGGGAAACTAATTGTGAGGCTATTTTTCTTTCTAAACCCTATGGCATATCTGGCCAATGGCAAGAGTGTCAGTAGGGCCTGAGACACTCACATATGAAGGGAGAAATACAGTAGAATATTCTGGTCTCATGACATTCTTGTCTCTCAGATGAAACTTCCTGCCAGCAGGCATACATGAGAGAGACAGAGAGAGCGAGAGATGAAGAGAAAGTGCTATAGCGAGATAGAGAGAAAGAGACAGGGACCCAAGCATACCATGCCATGTTTTCTGTCTAAATGAGCTGTAATCGGGGTATCCACAGAAAACCTCTTTTTAAGCTAATAGACAATGATCATTTCTACAGCAAATTTTAATTTGTTCACTTAAGCAAACATAAAGGCTATCAAATGATTTCATCAATAATAAAATATTAAAGCTATACTTTTTTTTATAAACTTCAAAATATCTGTATATGTATACACACACAAAAATAAATCACATTCCAGTATTACATCACAAGCCTTAGGAACTTGAGGATTACACTGGAAGAAAGCAAGACAACTTTTCCTAGGAGTCAGGTTTTTTTTTTTTAAACTTCAAAAAGTAGAATTTCTGCTATAATCTCAGAAATCTTCAGAAATTTATTCCTCTGTCATTGTAGGAAATTTATTTAAGATGCTACCTATGTAAGGCTTACCATGAGATTAACAGATCATAAATCTTCATTCTTCAAACCCAAATTCTTTGTATGTTTATAAAATTCAGCATTGAATTGGGGTTTTACTAAAAAATCATTGAGGTAGAGGCGAATAGGATTACTAGGATAAATCATGTAAGGCTATACTGTATGCAGATACATGTGGAAAATTAAGCAGATATACTCATAGCTCAAATGAAAATACTGTAATAAGACATATCTGAATAATTGAGATAAAATATGAGCCTCAGGACAATACACACTCCAGACAAGGAGCATCATTCTCTGCTTTGTGCAAACTAATGGTGTAAGAAAATCTGCTTTTGAATTGCTCCATTATTGGGCTGTAGGATCACCTCTCAACAGAGTGGTTTTATGTGAATGACACATGGAAAAATCTAGAATCCCAGTCAAGGTCATCCCCAGAGGCTGTTTACTGGAGTGCTAAGTATCTGTGGTCAGAGACTTTGCACCATGAAATTGCTTTAGCCTCGAACCAACGGAAATAATGAGTGGAAAGCTTGAGAGTTAAACATTTCCTGTTGTTTCCAGTTCAATGTTTATATTTACACATGCAAATAGACTTTGCTTTGGTGGTGTGCATCAGAAAACACTGACTCCACACATGTTCCCTTCCTCTTTTTTGATCTGTAATAATTGGAAATAAGATATCAGGACAAACACATAATATCTGTGGGTAGACTTATCTAATTTTTCTAATTATTTTGGAAGGAGCCCTTTAGCAGAATTGTCTGAACAGCATCCAGCTTAGGTCACTGGCTTGAAAAATGAAGGTTCGTGTTTGTTGGTTTTATCTTGGTTGGTTGTACAGCAAGGAAACCAGAGAGAAAAAACCAAGCTGACCTAAAATAAGAGCATCTGGATGACCACAGGAATTGAAGCCACAATTTGTTTTTGTAAACAAAAGGACAGCTTAGTGACACTGTATGGCCCTCTGGCTCCCCCTCGCCCCATTTGCTCCTGATCCTTGAAGGGAAAATACTCCTCTGATCACCCATCTGGTATGCACGATAGGATTCCATGCACCGAGTCTTTTCAGATTTCAATGAAGAAGCAATTACTGCCGGAGAGAGAGATGAGGCCAGAGGTAACCAGGTTAAAATGTTTAATAACAGCAGAGAAGAATTTACCTAAACTGAAGGGATTCTCACTGCTGTTTACTTTCCTCTCCTGTGCCAGCACGATTGAAACTCTCTCTCTCTGGGCACAAGCTTGCATATAGGTAAGCAGAAGAGAAGGGCACTGTGGGTGGTGAGAAAGGCTTTTCTCACGGAGCTCCAAACTCCAGGGCAGTTCTCTATGGTGAGGGGTCAACAGCACAGTCTCTGGCATCAGACAGACAGGAGTCTAAATTCCATTCAACCCTGGTTAAGTTATTCCAAATGCTGGTAAGTTACCCAATGAATGTGAAGTACTTATTGCAGTGCTTAACATTAGCAAGCACACAATAATTGGTACAACAGAAAAATGGACTGAGGTAATGGTGGTCTGTAGAAACAATCATGAAAAAAGTTATCTGAGTGTGTGGTGGGGAGGGATAGATTCTAGGCTAATAATCCTATTGGCCTTCAATGTCCCCAATAGGACATGAGACTGTTCAAAGTTTTATGGTTCAGAACGGGAAAGACAATGCAATTAAAACATGCAATGGAGAGACTGGGATAAAAGAAGCAGAATAAAAGCAGTTAAGGTGAGCAGAGAAGACAGAGTCCAGCTAGGACCACTACAGAACCATGCAGTTGGCCTGTCGCCATATTGATCTGGCTCTCCTTGGGGAACAATCTGATTTTGCATTTAAAAAGTACTAGTCTGCTCTAAATATCAATATGATATCATTTATATGTGGAATCTAAAAAAATTATACAAATGAATTTATTTGCAAAACAGAAATAGATACACAGATATAGAAAACAAACATGTTTTACCACAGGGGATGGGATAAATTAGGAGTTTGGGATTAACAGATACACACCACTGTATAAACAGATAAACAACAAGGACCTACTGTATAGCACAGGGAACTATATTTAATATCTTGCAATAACTATAATGGAAAAGAATCTGAAAAAGAATATACATATATATATGTGTGTATATATATACACACATATATATATCTGAATCGCTTTGCTGTACACCTGAAACTAACACAACATTGTAAATTAACTATACTTCAATAAATAATGGTTAAAGAATAAAATCTATAAAAAAATTTTAAGATGTACTAGTTTGCTCTGAATGCCTTAGTCTAACTTTCCCTATATGAAGTGTATTCCAAATAAACACAGGTTCAAGTTAAATGAGTAAACTTAGCACAGAAATTCATAGAAATAAAAGTGCAATGAAATAGGTGAAAAAATCAAGTACTTTTATTATCTTCTGCAAAGTTAATATACATACCTCCACATATTTCTTCTGTTTCATCATCTATGCATTCTCTATCATCACACTCACAAAATTTACCATAAACGAGTCCATTTCCATCTGAATTATCACACTTACACCTGCCACAGTGACATGTACCTAAACCATTAAAACAGAGCAAAAATTATTTGTTAACTGCATATAAATTATAATTAATGAATTTTAACCTATCTCTTTCATAGATAAAGCCAATTCAAATCAATTTAATATTCCAATTAGGTTTTACTGTGGGTATGATGAGATAATGACATTCTTTCTTGAGATTATTGTAGCCCAGCAGTTATGTTTTATAGCACACAGCTATTATGATTGACCTCTAATAGTTTCATGAATCTGACCTCCCCAAGAGCAGAGCTACTTTATACATGTCCATCCAATCAATGCGTGAATGAATATCTTCTAATTACACCTGGGTCTTAGGTGAACTAAAGCAGAAAATTCTAAGCTTTGTGAGAGAAGTAACCTTGCTTATCTTCCTCACCAGTTATTTATTCAATGCTTTGCACAATATTTGAACATATTATTTATATAATGAATATTTGTAGAATTCATTATCAAATGCATAAATGAAAACCTTAGGTGTCCCTAATAATTTCATACCCACAGTGTTAAACTGATAGCCATGTCATTATGACTATGGGACCAGAGTGGGTTTTCTTATGCATAGAGTCCTGGGACCTCACCAAAACCTCAGGGCAGCTCAGGGTGATACAGAGGCACTGGAGTCATCTAGTCTACCGCACACAACATACCCAGCCAAGTTTGAGGATTTGACTACAACCCCAAGAGTGATTTCACTGACAATAAAACAGCATTCAAAGGATACTGAGAAGTAGAATGTCCATTTGAGGAGCTTCCTTTTTAATGCCTATTTTTAAATTTTTAATCGATCATCACAGCAGTCACCATACAGTAATTGAGACTTTGCCATTCACCAGTATCATCCTAGACTCTGGAAATGCAACAGGAGATTGATTCAGCCATAATCCTCCTCTTAAAGTTTTATATGAGTAAAAAACAATGTGATAAAATCAGAAGTGCAAACTGCTGCAGAAACACATAATAAGGGGATTTAACTGAGACCTGGTAGTCAAAGATAGAGTCCCTGGGGAATGGCTCTTAAACTGAGAACTGAAAGCCAAGTAAAAATAATAGCTAAGAGAATTGAGAAGGTGAAAAAGCCCACTTCCAGCAAGAAACAACAGCAAAGGCTCTGAGGTAAAAGAGGGAATAAGGGAAAAAAGAAAAAGACAGCTGGCGTATAGCAGAAAATAAAGTGGAAAATGTCATGAAAGGAAAAAGGCAACTAAAGATGCAGTTTACGGAAGTCTAAGAGGTCACATTAAAGATTTCCAACTTGAATCAAGCATGTACTAGCAGAAAAATGAGAAGCCATTGAAATATTTTCAACAAGGGAGTCATGTGATCAGGTATTCATTCCCACCCTGTTACTCTGGTTGTCATATGGAGAATGAACTGAAATGAGGCCAAGTAGATATGAGGGAATGTTAGTTCATTAGTCTGCAGGAAAGAAGATAGAGGCTGACCCAGGTCATGGCTGTGAGTTTATAAAAAAGCAAACACACGTGGTGATATTTTCAGGAGAAAGAAAAGATGACTCGGTGACTGGGTCTGAGAGGTAAAGGATGGGAAGGAACCGAAGATGATACTATGGATATTTGAAATGAGCTACTGGATACTGGCAATTCTGTATGTGGTGTACCAGAAAGAGCACAGATTTAGGACTGAGGTAGATTTGCAGGCATATCTAGATCTTAATCTCCACTAGCTATACATATCTGAGGTCATTACTTTTATCTCTAACTCTCAAATTCCTTATCTGCAAATAACGTCTTCTTCATAGAGCTGCTGTGTGGATCAAGTGATAAATATATCACCCAGTCATCTATCTAAAAATGCTACTGTGTCTAGCACACTGTAGACTTTCAGAAAATGTTGGGTTCTTTGTCGTCTCCCATTAAGACATCGAGTATATCAGCCATATTCCCAAATATTTTCTCCAGACACATTTTATATTTATGGATCCCACCACTTCCTGGTTCCATACTCTCTGCATGATTCTGTTACACAGGTCACTTGTGATTTGCTATTCTCTTTAAGTGTTCTTTCTCTCACAGTCACATATAAATGGTGATTCTGCAGAATTTGAGCTTGTTATTTTTCTTCCTTGAGAATACTTGTGTGAATTTTACTTCTATTAAACTTCTTTTTATAAACGAAGTTTATAAACTAGTTTATAAACTTCGTTTTATAAACTATTTTAATTTATAAAAGGTCATTTCCAATCTAACGCTACAATTCATGGTATTGCGTCATCTCATTTTGTTCTCTAATTATCACCCGTCTTTTTCATTTTCACATTTATTTATGCTGTCTTTCAACCATCCACGTATCCATTCATTAAATTTTCTCATTGCTTTATTATATTATTGGCGAAGTCATAAGTGCTATAGAAGATAATAAGATGGATAAAATTAAAACTAAGTAAATCATAGACCAAGAAGAAAGAGCAAGGTGATTGATAATTTTTACATATACATATATCTATATGAAACCAGATGACGCAAAGGCATTTGCAACAGATTTGTGACAAATGCTATAAAGATAGTATAAACCTCAGTCTGGCTCTGTGAAGGAGGAAAGGCACAGTAGGGGAGTAAGTTCTTGAGTTGGCACTTGATGTATAGATAGAATTTCAACAAGTGGAGATGGAGAAAAAACTTGTGATGTTGAAGAAAGAGCCTGGGCTAAGGAATAAGGATGGAGGATTTAACAGAGAAGAGTCTGGCTTTAGTTTGGAAAAAAGGGTAGTAAAGGCAGACAGTATAGGATCAAGAATATTGGTCAAGAATTTTAGAATTTATCTGTTGGAAGACCAGGAGCCCTTCATGGGTAGGGAGAGAGGTGTAACATAGTTAGGGCTACGTATGCAGTCATTGTTTTCAGGAAAGATGGGAAGGAACAGCCTCTGCCTCTGAATTCTACAACTTCTCACTGACGTCCCCCACAGGCTGGCTCACTCCAATCCACACATCTGAACTGTTCCTGGGTGATGCAGGAAGTTTACAACAGTTCAGAGACTTCCTGTCTTACTCATCAAGTAGAATTCACAACTGAGGCTCCAAGATACGGCATATGGAAGCCCAGGCAAAAGTGCCAGACTCGCGTGCTCATGCTGTGTCATCCTGCATCTCTTTCTTGGTTGCCAGTTAACTCAGTCTCTAGGATTGGTCTTCTGTTTTATGCTAGATTATTTTAGCTCTGACTTTTCATTCTGCCTAATATAGCTGCCTCTTTCTAGGATGACTCCCTGTCTTGAACACCAGCACATACTCCTGATGCAATGGTGCTGGAGCCTTGCTTTGCTCTGCAGACTGTGCCTTGCCATTCTGCGCCCCTACGGAGTCAACTTCTGGAACTCCTTTAGTCCCCAGCTCCATCTCCATCTCCCCCTGCCCTTCAGTCTTCTGCCCATTCCATACACCTCCTCTTCCCCTTCTGTTCCAAGCTGCTTCCTGCAAATCACACTGCGATATGAGGGGGAAAGATTAGTATAGAGAACTCAGACACTAATGCAGTTTGGGGGCAGTAGTCCTGAACTAGGCTGGTAGAAGTAGGCATTAAAAGAAAGCTATGTGACAGCAAGATCCCCAAAGTAAACCTGAAAGGCTTAGAAACTGAGAAGAGAGTAAGAGACAGAAAAAAAGATTGTGCTGCCTGTGGAAACTGTCTAAAGACACATTAAAGGATGTCGAAGAGATATGACAGCCAGACGTAACACTACCCCTAGACTGGATCCTATACAGAGGTGGTCGCAATGATGTAAAGGGCATTGTTGGGTCAATTGACATAACTGGAATATGGACAGTAAGATTACATAAAAGTATTGTATCCATGTTAAAAAAATAGAGGTAGAGATATCTTAGAAACGTATTTTATATCTTATCCAATGTGTTTCATCATCTATTGAAACAATTCTGTAAATTTTCTCCTTTGAGATGTGTTGATGTGGTGAATCATGCATTTAGATTCCTTAACATTGAAACATCTTTGGATTCCTAAACTAACCCCTATGTGGTTATAATGTGTTATTAAAAAGAAAAAAAATCCTGGATTTGAAAACCAATCAATCAATCAATCAATTAATCCATCCATCAATCTGAAAATAGAGTACAAAGAAACAAAACTGAAATTGATTTCAAGTCTTATTACTGAAAGAAGTTTGGAAAGCATGAAGTTTTCAAAACAAAAGAGGCTATATGGTGAGTGTGTGTGTGTGTGTGTGTGTGTGTGTGTTTAGAGGGTGCCATGAACCGGAAGTAGAGAAATTCTACTGAGACGAAAAGAAAAAAGGAAGTGCTGGAGAGAAGCCAGGAGAGTATCAGTGAACACAGAAAGTAACCTGACCGTTAGTACTTTCGTCACGGTCCCGGTCCCCAGCTGCTCCACTCACAGCTTGCCTTGGCAGTAGACCTGATTGCTATTAGCAAAACCTACTGCACTGAATCTACACAGAGCAACTCCTGTCAATCAAAGACTGTGGAAAGCTCCCAGCTCTGAATGCAGAAGGACTCTGCCAACAATGGGAGCTTCAGGGGGGAAGATACTCATTTATGTAGTCAAACCCTGGCCTTCAGCATGCAGAGCAAGAGGCTCACACCCCTGGATCTACGTAAGAACTACCCAGAGAACTTTAAAAAAAACCACTAGAGTCCATATCAGACCCCAAAGCAATTAAATCAGAGCCTCCAGTGTAGGACAGGAGCATTCTCAAGTTCAACCAGGGCTGAGAAAAAACTGACTTTGAGGTTCTACGTGCCCAACTGTTAAAAGAGTATTTAATTATAGTAACACTGGCTGAACACCATTGAAACCAAAACCACAGTTGTTGTGTTTTATATGATTTTGGTAATTAATTTTAACAGCTCCTCTGTAAATTTCTAAGAAATATTTTTAAATGACGTCTACCAGATATACAAATATTTTAGTCAAACAAAAATCTTGCTATCACTATATTCTGCAATGGTTTTCACATCCAGGGCATTGGAAACCCCCATTAGATTTGAAGAGTTTGGTTCTTTTTGATGCCAAGGTATAAATTCAAAGCACCCTTGATCTGTAACAGAAGATAATTAAGTAAGTTTATACAAATCCTTTTTAAAAGGATTAATCCAGCATTCAAAATCATGGCTCACAATTTACCTAAAATGTTGTCAGGGTGCTGTTTCCAGTGACTATCCTACTTGAAGAAGGCATTTGGAACAGCTGGAGAGCATCAGACTTGCCAGTCTCAGCAAGAGGACATTTTTCCCAATTGATTTATCTGAATTTCACTTCAAAAAAATATGCTCAAAAGCAGTCTCACTCAGAGGTTCAACATCTCTCAACGCCTACATATTTCCATTAAAATTTTTTCATTTAAGAATTCTCAGGGCATGGAATTCTTACCTGCATTAGAGCAGATGATATCTTGAGAATTCTTGCACATTTGGTTGCTCTGTTTCTTTGTCAGGTCACAGGTCTTTGGGTACTGGCAAGCGTCCCCAGACCATCCTCCATCACATCTGCACTTTCCACAGTCACACGCACCGTGGCCTGAGAATTTAACAACATCCCGTTAGACTCAAATTCTTTTCCAAAGGAAACCATTACTGTATCTAAGGATCTTAAGAGTGATGTTGCTTCTGGACCGAGCTATAATCAATTCAAACACAGGTAAACAACAGTGACTGAGGGGTAATCCTATTTATATACCATATAATGAAGTATGTGGATTTTACTTTCATAATCAACTTCGATATATCATTCTAAAAACATTCACTTAACTCATAAAGACATCAGGATAGATAATAAACCAGAGGTCTGAAAAACCACATGATCAGAAAATTTAGCACTTAAAGGAGTCCACCTAGCACCGGCATATTTAAGACACAAAAGCCCCGTAAAAACAATTTCCATTTAACTGCATTTTATAACACATGAAATTCCACTAAACTAAACATTGGCCTTATATTTATTTGAATATGTAATAAAATTGTATAGATATATTAAATACCACCTTGGGATAAGATTGACATGAAAAATAAGTATATATTTTGTTTCTTGATGGGGTAATCTGGTTCAAGAGTCAAAAGGATAAGAGCCATATTCATCTACTGCCACAAAGATTTCTCAACCTTCCATGCTCTCAAATCAACATTTTGCTGTTTTTATTGTTGTGGTTATTAATTTTATTAAGTCCTGCTTGAAGAATCCTGCTAATGTTTTATTGACTACATATTAGAAACAAGTACAAAACACATACAAGCCTTGGTCTTTGCCCTCAAGGAACTTACAAACTGAAAAGTTGAGGCTAATATGCAAAGAGAATTGTGTTATCTTCAGCCAGAAATGTTTGTTGGACCTTATATTAAGTTGAGGGATGTAGTCTACAACCTATAGAAATAAGAGGGGAAAGATTTTCTACACTTCCTTGACTTTTAACTGGGCCTTGGAAGGTGAGTAGAGTTTGAATGGGTTACAGAGAGAAAATTCTTGTATTATTCAAGGTAACAGTACTACGTCTTAATGGCTGAAATTCATAGCCACAGTGGAATGGAATCATTGATCTCGGGCCAACAATCATTCGAGGTGGCAGCCAAAATCCACATGATGAAATCCAGATGGCCGGTCAGAATGAATGGCTCAGAGGACTGCCATTTGGGCATGCTTGGCAGATCCTGGATCTGTGATTGGCTATGACTTTAAAACTCCCCTGCATGGGGCCCAGTCCATGTAAGTGTTTCTATTCCTGTTGCATTTTTCGAATTAATTATTCTATTCTACAAACAAAATCTTGCCTGCACCCTAATTGTGATTCATTTTATCAAGTGCACATTATTCTGTCAAATTGATTGTATCATCTTGCATTCCTGTCTGGTCCTACTTGATATTGTCAATCTCAGCCAACTTGGTATCATTTACAAGCATAAGTGATCTCTCCTGCCAACCATCCAGTCTATTTATAAAAGTATTAAGCCAAATTCTTGAAGTGGCTAAGCCTCTTTTGGTGAATTAAGTATCTCAGTAACTGTAATGATTCTCTAATAATATTAGTGTATTAGGTTAAACCACATGAAGTAGCCACTTTTAGAAGTTAAATGTCAGTCATGGTTCATCCCAATAAAAAAGCTCCATATCAACTGCAAAGAAAATAAAAATGCTTTAGAAGAAAATGAAGTATCTAGAATAAAAGAATACTCAGTGCTTCTTTTATATTGGATAGAACATCTTAAACTCCAAACTAAGGTATATATGACAGAGGTGGGTAATGGTTTGTGGGTCAAAGGTTACAGATTTTTGAAATGGAGGGAGATTTGGAAAAATAAGGAAAATGTACACAGATGATAGGAAAAGACTCATTCATCCCACACTGACCAAATGAAGCATCAGTAGAAACAATATTTTAGGTGCTTACAACCCATAGTCCATGGAGGTCCAGTTTCAGAAACTTCTTCCATAAAAGGTTCTATGATAAAATAAACATGGAAAGAGACATGCTATATTCTTCTCTTAGCGTGCCATGATATATATCAGCGCACTGAAGCCCATCAGAGGTCCTTTCATGAAAAAGCTATTTAACTTTATGTAGCATATACAATTTTTTTGATTAGGGGGCCCTTTTTCCTTACAACTTATACTAATATCTTGGGCACACACTGTGTCAGGTAATGTGTTTTCAGCTTTTCCTGTAGCATCTGATTGGAGGCAAAGATGACAGACAATGTAGGACAGGGTCCTCTGCCTTTATGTTCTTTCTAATCTTCATGCCCAGTAGGGCCTTCTTGATTCACTTTCCTCCATTTAGGAAAGTAAATGAGAACTGATTTTTTTTTACCGTCAAGAATTACCAAGTAATAGCCTGTACAACCTTACTTGGAGATAAATGTATAATTTTTTTTTAGAAAGAAAATAATCTTCTATTTCTACCCTTTATCCAAGGTTAATAAGAGCTTTGGCCAACCTCAGGGAATGAGGTTGCTGTATTATCCAAGCAAGGTAATCTCCATTACAGTGTCAATAACATGGCTTCGGCAAACATCTCATTTTGCAAAATAATTTATCCACTGTGTATTAGTTTGCTACGGCTACCATCCAACGTACCATAAACTGAATGGCTTAAAACAAGAGAAATTTTCTCTCTCCCAGTTCTGGAGCCCCAAAACCTGAAATCAAGGTGTCTGCAGATCCATTCCTCCTGGAGCATCTGAGCAAGAAATTCTTCCATGCCTCTCTCCTACCTACGGATGGTTGCCTGTGATTTTGGTGCTCCTTAGCTGTGAAAGCTTTCCAGGCTCTGCTTCTGTCTTCACATGGCTTTTTTCTCTGTGTGTCTGTGTCTTCACATCTTTCTCCTTATGAGTGCACCAGTCATTGGTGCCCATCCTACTCCTGTAGAGGCTCATCTTAATTACACCTTCAAAGACTCTCTTCCCAAATGTCACATTGACAAGCACCTGGTGGTGGGATTTCACCCATCTTTTAGGGGCACACAATTTAAACCTCAACAGCTGCAGACAGTAGGCCCTGATTAGCCTCTTTCCTGCTGTATAGTCATGTACGAGATGGGATCATTTTTCTCTCTTAGATATGCAAATAAATGGGCTAGAGCTGGCAGCAAGCCCCCTCCTCCCCGTTTCTATCCTACACAGGGAGGGCCTGAGAATTCCTACAGACAGCCCGGCCCAGGTCCACATGTGCTTCCACAGCTCTGCCAGCCCCTCCCCTGCCCTGCTCCTCCTGCGGTGGCTGCTCCCTGACCACCAGCCGAGCCTCAGGACATCTGCACTGCCACTGACTGGGGGGAAAGCCACAGCAGGCTCTGGAAGAGATTTGGAGACATTCAGGGTAGAAGGTCCTGGGTCCCAGGCACCTCAGCCTAGGGGAGCAGAGGTGGCAGGGCCCAGGGCTCCAGGTGGTGATGTCCCCTTGGCCTCTCAGGCATCCCACCCCACTCCGCCTTGGGAAAGGATGGCAGAGGAGGACCAGAGCAGGACCCCTCCTATTGTCCAGGTCGAAGGGTGGCCCTTGCCCAGGGCAATATGAAGTCCTAACCAGCAGAACATCCACCGTTCCCAGCTGTCTAGACCACTCCACTTCTGGCTCTTCTCCAGATAACTCTGTTTCCACAACTACAAAATACCGTCTTAAAATGAACCATCCAACATCCTTGAGAATAAATCTGTTGCCCTTCAAATAAGTTCTCAAGGAGTCAAGAGAAAACAAACACACAAAACAAGAATGTGAGAGAAATGCCAGAACCACCCCCCACAGAGTAATAAGGATGAAAAAGCCAAAGGCTATTCGCATTGCTCCCAGGGCTGTGAGTTGTGTCGCCAGTCGCCGGAAAGGGAAGACAAGTCACGGTGGAGGGTAAAGTCCAGTAGTTTAGTCTCCTTTTTGGGTAAGAATATGGAGGCCTGGTCGGCTGGCTCCAGTGCTTCCGAGGTGAGCTAAAGCCTTGACCACCACTGAGCAAGGAAGGGCATTCCAACAGAGACAGAATAGAATGGGGTTTGTGACTCTTAAATAAACAATGCAACTGCAGCACTGCCACCACTACTCCGTGATCCCTTGTACCTGGGTAATGCAAACACTCATCTATTCCACTCGGAGTGATGATAAGATACACTAGTGTACGGTAGAGGAGAAGTTGATGCTTTTTTTAAAAATGAAAACAAACTGTTTCCAATTGGAAATACTTTACCAGTATTGAAGAACTTCTAAAAATCAATTAGCCATTTGCATATACCAATGAAAAGTAATAGCACCTTTCTTTGCCAAACGAACAAACAAAAAAAAAGCTGAAGGGGATGGCACTTAACTCTCCTCCAAGTCTACTGATACTATGGATGCAAATAAACTGCCAAAATTAACATGCCTATTGGATTAGCGATATGTTTTTGGCTTCAAGTCTTTTTGAAGTCTTAAAAAGGTAGATAGATAGATAGATAATAGATAAATGTAGACAGAGGTAGGCATAGGTATAGGATAAATGGATAAAGAAGCTATAGTGTATATATAAATAATATACATGTGTATATATATTATATATATATAGTATATATATAGAATACTATTCAGTCATAAGAAAGAAGGAAATCCTGCCACTTGGGACACATGAATGAATCTTGAGGGCATTATACTAAGTGAAATAAGTCAGATGGAGAAAGACAAATACTGTATCATTTCACTTATATATGGTATCTAAAAATAGCCAGCCAACCAACCAAACAAGCATAAGAACCAAACTCATAGAAAAAGAGATCAGATTTGTAGTTAACAGAGGCGGGAATAGGAGGGGAATTGGATGAAGGTGGTCAAAAGGTACAAACTTGCAGTTATACAATAAATAAGTACTAGGTATGTCATGTACAACACAATGACTATAGTTAATATACATACAAATATACTGTATAGCATATTCCAACGTTAAGAGAGTAAACCCTAAGAGTTCTCATCACAAGGAGAAAAAAACTTTTTCTTCTTTTTTTTTTGTATCTATATGAGATGACAGAGGTTAACTAAAGTTATTGTGGTTATTATTCTGGAATATA